ATGTTCATCATTTCCAGAAGGCCTTGGTTTGACCTGAAATAAATTTTATTAGCAAATAATTACCAGAAGAAGTATCAGCTGCCTAGTGGGAGCAGGTATTGCATGTCTTAAGAAAGCCAAAAGACCCCCAACACTTTTATGGCTTTTAATTATATGGTTAACATTTCATATGATTGCATCCTTCTAGCAAATTAGATGTTGAATAAACCAAAGTACTTCTTATACCAATTATTTTGTCTCTCTTCTTCCTGGTTACATTAGGATGATAAAGTAGTCAGCTGTGTCTACTTTTCATCAGTCATCAGTATTATTGGTAAATAGCAAACGTATGAGTCAATACTCAGATCATACACACTGGTGGAATGAAACAGTGAGCTCACATATTCTCAGCTCTTTCATTTCTGTAAACTTAAGCATTGAGGGAGATCCGAGTGGGCTTCCAAAATATCACCGGAAGGTTTTGCAGACTCTGGGTACTGAGCCCTCAGCAGCCGTGGTTTCCTGCATAATCTCTGGGGGCACCTTGCTCTTTACGGGGTTGGCATGTTTATGCTCCAGGTACACTGAGAAAGCGTCACCATCATTGGCCACTCCTGGGACAGGTAGAACATTTTCTCCCTCCTCTTTGTCAGAACTCTGGCTTTTCCTTCTTTCTCTCCTGAATCTGCCTAAGGTTAGATGCTGTAAGTTTTCTAGATTTTTATCTCTTCATGTTAGGAGAAGTAATTGAGTTTTCTGGCTTAAATTGTTTTCCCCCAAATACCAGGAGGAATGGATATAGGAAAGAAAACAGAGGAGTTTGTTATATCACCAGGAAATTTTTTAAAATAATTCTCCAGGATTATATTGCCATGACTGGAGAGAAACTATGTGTCACTGACCAAGAAGCATGTATTAGACCAGAAGTAGAATCTGAATTTTTCCTTTTCCTAATTAGACTCTGGCCATTGGAAGGGTGTTTAAGATGCTCATTAGTTAGACAATGGATACCTGCCCATTCCTTATGCAGAAGTTACCGAGCTGTGCGTAGCTCATGGTCGCATGTTGCTTTGGTGCAGGTCGCACTGGTTCAGATGACATTCTGAATTCCAAGAGAAGGTATTAGCAAACTTTTTCTGTAAATGGTCAGAGAATACATATTTTGATCTTTACAGACATGTGATTTGTATGGGGTATCAGCAACTCAGCAGTTGTAGCATTAAAGCAGCACAGAGACTATGGGAGCCAATGAATGAGGCTTTTTCAATGAAACGTTATTTAGGAACACAGACAGTGGGCCAGATTTGGCCTGTGAGCCATAGAAGCACAAAGCGGATGAGATGGTTGGCTAAAATCTTATACCATCTTCTTCCATCTCCCCTGGGCCCCAAATAGAAAATTATAACCTGACAGATCACAAAATAGAGAAACCTTTTTCTATTTCTCTATAAAACTAGAAGAAATAAGAAGCAGGAGCCCCTCCTGGACCTTTGCACTTGTTCTTTCTGCCTGGAATGCTCTTACCCGGAGAGTAATAGGGCTTGTACCCTATCCACTTAAGTGCTTGCTCTAATGTCTGCCTCCTTTGCTTTGAGGCCCTGAGCACCAAATTTGAAGTTACCACTGCCCCTCCCTCACCACCCCGTTACTCCTTTAGTTACTTTAGTTTTCTCTGCCCAGCTCTATACTAGATGACTTATCTATAATAATAAAAGCACAGTATGCTAATTAGACTGGACAAAGCTGGGGCTCTGAGGGAAGCCCGTGTCCCAGATGCCTGCTGGTGGCCGGAGGGAAGCCCAGGAACCGGGTGCCAGAAGGAAGCCGGTGCCAGCAGCTGGGGGAAGGAAGGCCTACTCTTGCATAAATTTCATGCATCAGGCCTCTAATTTATTTCATATACGTTCCCTGGGGACAGCATCTAGATTGGCTTTTGTTTACTGCAGTATCCTCAGTAACCACAATGTGCCACGCGATAGATTCTTTAATATTTATTGTCGACAGAATCAGTAAAAAACTAGCATAAGACATCATTTTTTTCTTTACATTTTTCTAGGGATTTTGTAAAACTGAACTCTGAACACTGTTGAAAATTTGCAGATGCCATTGATGGCGCTAATGTACATTTCCAGAGCAGTGGTCTCTTAGTGTTCTCCTTATAATTCTTTCCTCCCTGGAGACACTTACATGTGTTGTCAAAACACAGTTTAAAAATAGATAGCCTCACTCAGTTATCCTCCTCCAAATATTGTTTGAAACTGTTCTCAGTCATGAGTGACATTAAACAAAATAAATTCATAATCTGGATTTATTTCACATGGTTGAGTATCTATTTGCTTTTGAAATGAAAATGCCAGTTCTGAATTAATGAACAGTTTGTAAAAAACCACCAAATATTTAGTAAGAAAATAATTCTGTAACATTATGCAACTAAAGAAACACTGATCCCGGCTGGCCTGGCTCAGTGGTTGAGCATCGACCTATGAACCAAGAAGTCATGGTTCGATTCCCGGTCAGGTCACGTGCCCAGGTTGAGGCTCTATCCCCAGTGTGAGGTGTGCAGGGGATGGGGGTTGATCAATGATTCTCTCTCATCATTGATGTTTCTATCTCTCTCTTCCTATCCCTTCCTCTCTGAAATCAATAAAAAAATATATATTTTTAAAGAAATACTGAAACATTTCCAGTTTAGCTTAATGTATAAAGTTTATTTAAAAATTTGAATGATCCTATATAATAAAAGGCTAATGTGCAGATCGATCAAACAGTGGAATGACCAGTCGCTATGATGTGCACTGACCACCAGGGAGCAGACGCTCAATGCAGGAGCTGCCCCCAGATGGTCAGTGCGCTCCCCAGACGGTCAGTACGCTCCCATAGCGGGCCTATAGGGGTAGTGTGGCTCAGCCAGAAGCTGGGCTCACAACTGGCGAGCGCAGCGGCAGTGGCGGGAGTCTCTCCTGCCTTGGCGGCAGCGCTAAGCCATCAGTTAGACATACCTGGAGGGCTCCTAGACTGTGAGAGGGTGCAGGCTGGGCTGAGGGGATCCGCCCTTCTCCCCTAAGAGCACGGATTTCGTGCACCTGGCCTCTAGTCTAATTATAATGTAGCTTGATACTATTGCTTTATAAAATTGTATGGAAGAAACTTGATAGAATGTTGAACTTGGGTCTGTTATTACAACTAGGGCAAGCAAATGAAAAACTTAATAAATGGTACCTGTTTTAAAATACTCACTGAGTTTAGAGGTTAAAAAACCAATATGCCCCCCTCGCCTTTTCTAGCTGTAATTAATAAGCTCAAGCATTTCAGCAAATCTGAAAAGATGCAAAACTGAACAATTGGCTATGATTTATTCTACACTTTCCAAAAAAAAAAAAGACTGTACCCTATTATGTAATGATGTTTACTTTGAATTTATATTAGTTCACACAAACATTCCATCCATACTTTTGTTCCAGCCTTCCGGTCCAGTTTAAGTACCCATTGTTGGCCCTGAGTCAAAAAGTTTGCCCACCCTGGTTTAGAGGATAAAAAACCAATATGCCCCCCTTGCCTTTTCTAGCTGTACTAGTTTAGAGGTTAAAAAACCAATATGCCCCCCTCGCCTTTTCTAGCTGTAATTAATAAGCTCAAGCATTTCAGCAAATCTGAAAAGATGCAAAACTGAACAATTGGCTATGATTTATTCTAGCATTTTCCAAATATGTAATTCAGAGGAAGAATCCTTTGAGTTCTGTAAAGAGGGGAACGTGGTGTCATGTCTGTACCCTTTGTGGGAGATGCACATATCGAAATAGCCAAGAATGTCTGCAATAAGGAGACTCCTTTATCTTTAGTTTGCTGTTTTCTACTAATGTTGGTGTGCTCAGCATAATACACTGAGCATATTTATAAAAACTACCGTATATCTCCAGGAACTCACAGTTTACTTGATAAGTTCAGACGCGACTTTCTTACTTAGCTAAATTCTCTCTTTCTTTAAAAAAATTATTGAT